ACCATGGATTTAAACATGTGAGCCTGCACTGTAAAGTCTTTTGTTATGCAATTTGCATCAAACTCACTCTGTAAGTCAGGGGCATACCCCACAGCACGTAAAGTTCGTAGAAACAGTGAAGTAAGACCAAGAAGCACACACTTGTACAGATAAAGCAAATGAAGAGACCATTTGTTGCAGAGCAGCATTTGTAATTCTGAGAACTGGCCCCTCATTCTGAAGCGGATAAAGTGGTTTGCAGAAAAAAGATGAGACTCACAGCTGGAGGAAACACAGGTGTCAAAGTCTGTTGTTACTGCTTTTGTTGTGGCTCAAAACAGGCAGGCATACTTGATAGGCATAAAAGACAAAACAGAGATACTCGAGCAAATTCAGCCCAGGACTAAATGGGTAAAACAGCCAGGTGGTTCATATTTTCCTCTTGCTTATGTTTTGCATGATGAAGTCTTTCCTAGTGAAGACAACCCAGATAGTGTAATGCAAGATGAAGATCTGAACTGCTTTTTCAACCTGTCTTCAGCAGCAGTTTCAGAACTGGCTTTAGTAGGAATTGCACTTACACTAGAGCTGAATTTGGCTCACTGCAAGGAAACATTTTAAAACCCCACTGCTGGTTTAGCTGCCTGGGTATTATCTTGTTGGCTTCCTCTAACATATTTAGCAGTGAAGTTTCAAACTGAATACAGTAGTCTAAAGGGGAGCTGGAGCTTACTGAAGTCACTGCCTAAAAGTCAGCTTGTCTTACTTATAAACCATTTGACACAGTTATTGATTTTCCTTTGGTTCAAACTCATACTAACTAGCAGACCTTGGCAGCTGCCTATTTTCTTTCCTATTAAAAAGCTCAGACATGACACTGGTTTTATAGGAGAAAGTGTCAGGGAATCAGACTCTGCACTGGCATTCCAATGGTTTAATTGATGATGAACATTTTGTTCAACTCTTGCCCCTTTCCCCAGGGTGGCCAGCAGTGCTTCAAATGCCTGCTGACTTAAATGGAGACAGCTGCAGGACACAGACTCATGTATCACAAGCTGCATGCAAGAGGAGATAGCTGAAGGGCAGAACTTCAAAGCCACTGGTTGTAACCACCCGGACAGCACAGGGCTGCTGCCGCTGCCAGCTGGTAGCTCCAAGCTGAAATGTAGGGACGTGGCCTCACAAGCAACTGAACATTTGCCATATCTTGGAGGTGCTGTATATCCACCCCAGAGAGAGGCAGGAAAACAGAGGTAAGGAGAGCACAGATTGCTTTAACATTTCTATTGGGCTTTCTCAGCTCCTCTGAAAACTCATAGCAGTACATCAAACACGTGGGTTTTGCTCCTCCTTCAAGGAAAGGACTGCAATTAAAGTGAGGAAGGATTGAGCTGATTTTAGCCTGCTTCCTCTAGCACACTAGCTTCAAACAATGTTTTAAAACTTTTGTAGATTAAGAACAACCACAGTTTAAATATTATTTCTTGGTACTTGAAGATTATCTAGCAATTCTTTCACCTTCACAGGAACTTCTCCACATCCTGATCAGCATCAAAAGCCTCAGGCAGTATCGATTGGGATAAGACACAGTGGCCTCTAACGCTAATTTTGATGCATAATTTATTTTCAGACCCACACAGAAGAATCTAGCATAGAAGACAATTCAGGGAATTCAAGTGAAAATAGTCTTTTAACCTAGGGATGTGCCAGCATGAAGGCCTTATGCATTATTTCTACTGCCAGTATCAGACACAGCACTGACTGAGCCACTTGGTGTGACTGCAGTTTGGGCTCAACACATCAATTCTAGACATGCTAAATGAGTCAATTTTAGACATGCCAAAAGTTGACCCATGCATTAACTACTTCAAGAAAGCAACAGAGCGAGTGGCACAATTCACCATTTCGACCAAGCTCTGCCAAATGCAGGAATGGAAGAGAAGAGGAGAAGCTTAGCAAACTTTATGGCTTTTTCTCATCCCTTTCAGTTAGAACTGCCTCACTAACATAAATTAGAAGCAAAGAGGGACTCTGGCAACCAGAAACGCATAGTGGAAGGCACCACAGATTGCTGTTTGTGTGGTGGCGGTGCTGAAAAGGCACATTGGGCTGACCGACCATGCACAGAAAATGCCTCTGTGAAGCTTGCCAGATTGTTTCCTATGTTTCAGTTGTGTCCAAGACTTAGATCTCCTAACCCACATGTGTTTTATGATTCTACAAGCTGGCACCAAGCCTCTTGCTTGCTCTGTGACCTCTCATGCTAGCTTCACCCGGCAAAAAGGCCCTCAGGAAGGAGGCAGTGATGCTCTACAGCTAGAAACAGTTAGGCCCTACCTCAGAGCAGCTGGGTTGGAAGGCACACATTCCCCAGCCACAGCCTCATAGAATCACATGTGCAAATCCTTCCATCCCAGAACCAAACCCATGGAGACAAGTGTTAAGCAGCCTTCATCCTCACTGCTGGAGCACAAATGGACTACAGAAGGAGAACTGACATCACAAATGTGTTTTAACTGGAGAGCCACAATCCTATGTTCTTATTTCCTTCCCAACTTGTGTTTCTGAGCTCATGCAATTAACTATCATCAGTGTTCCAAATATCATGTGATTAAATATCATCCAGTGATCCAAATTAAGAGCAAATGAAAGGTATAACCACTAAAACTGCTGGACTAGTGTTGTTGGATGTTCTACTCAATTTACTAACCCCATTTTTTTATTCCCCTGCTGAAAACAATAGGCTAATTCATTCAACCACATTGGGCCTGTAGCATTGTGATCCAGATGGAAGAGGTTCTCAGGAGTCTTCCACAGTCTTGCAAATTATTTAGGCCCAACTTCTTCATGAAACCACAAAGGTTTTTACCAGAGATACCATACATAATGGACCTGCAATGATGTCATATTTTCTTGTGATGTAAATAGGGATGGATGATCTGAATATACACCTCTGTATTGTAATTTCTGTCACACTTCAACTGCTTCTCATTCACGCAACATACTGAGCAACTCTGCTTACTTATGATGCTTAAACTCAGTAAAATACTCTTCAGCAGGTGCAGTTGTCATAATTCATTAATGGATGGTTTATAGCAGCTCTGTGAATGGAAAATGAAATCCTTTAACTATTTCTGTCCAGTTAGGAAGATTTCTTTATTCAGGTAGTAAAGAACTCTGATTGGATTACAGGTACAAAGAAGTCCTCAATACAAAATCAGTGCAATTTGGGCGAATGACACATTAGCAGTGGAGGTTGAAGAACCCAGATCTGCTGCGCAGTACAAGGCACATTGGACTAAATCTGGTTTGGGGTGAAATTTTGCCTCCAGTTACATCTACACAATGCTATTAATTTAGACAGCAGCTGGTCCAGTAATCTTGTGTTAGCTGTTCAGGAGCCAGTACTGTGAAAAACCTCACAAAGTGTTGAGAGCACCACACCCCTGAGTCACAGAAGGGCCCTACAAGGCAATAGGAGAGACAGAGAAAGCCATGCAAACATTTCCCATAACAAAGGAAGATGTCTGGGAAGAAAACATCCCTGTATTGCTGGTTTTGTTTTTACAAAGAAACTCTCATTTGTCAGCTGTCTGTCAAATTCCACAAGGCTAGAAGCAAGCTGGTAACTGTACCACTACCTCAACACTTGAGGGAATACCTTACTCAAAACCTTACTATAATTAGGAAAATCCATCTACCAGTATTGATCACCTGTATACTAGCAAGTTCTGGCTCTCAGTATGAGCAGCAGAAATTTGAAGGCATACCAGAAATTTTTGAGTGCTTTCTTCCAGAACACTGGCAACACAATGAAGAACAGTAAAAGAATGACTGCTAGACTTGCAAATGTTTTTAACTATCCATTACATTCACTGAGGAGGAAGGTACAGAATCATTTTGGCCCCATGAATGCAGTACTATGACACTGGAAAGACTTTTTCTTTTAAGCGATCATTAGAGACCCACATTTCAGGGAGCAACTTATAAGAAAAATGTATCTTTCAACCGTGACTTGAAGGCAAACTGTGATTGGGAGCAATTGGAGCTGGTCATATTGCAAGCTGCTGTAACTATGTGCCATTCTGCATTCTGTCCTCAGGCAGCCATAGCTGTAGAGAGGCATGGTACAGATTTTTATTTATCCTAACGTGCTTTGTTGTTCTCTGTAGCACAGGGATCATTAAGAAAGAAGTTTTTCAGATACAGAAAAACATAAACCACATTTTTAATGACCTCTCTATCATAGTTTCCCACTTCATACACAGCTAATTATTTCCTGGTTTCCTGGGCATTTCTCCATTCTGGTCAGCCAAGAAAAATTTAAGAGCTGCTAATAAAAGGTGAACACTTCTCTAAATATTCTGGCACCTGGGGACAAGATGTCCTATGCATCCAACCTTCTTCTGCTCTTAACCTTTGAAAGTTTTGAAGACAATGGAACAGAAGTGGCATCTCCTCTAAAATCAAACTTTCCTGTTTGGATTTGGATTCCAAACCAAGGCAGGAAGAGGAGAAGCAACTACTGGGATTTCCAAGCTGCACCTGGCTATGTCTCCTTTGGCATTCATTCCATACACTTTAATGAAGAGGACAGAACATGAGACAGAGGATGCTTTTTCAGAGCATAGGGGAATTTTGCAAACATTTGGGGGAATAAATGTAAGTTAGAAGCATTATAACTCTGTCAATAACATGTTATACTTGAAAGGGCCTGGGTATATCTATCACTTAGCAAGTTACAGTCTCTCTTTTAGGGGAGTTTCTGGATATAAAACTCTTACCTGATTTGATGGACCAGTGCTTTCAAGCTAGTCAGCACCTGCTCTCAAAGTTGATATACTCTCAAACTGTTTCAAGTGAAGCCAAAGGATCAAAACTTAATTAGCAGCGAAATACTTATAGTGATCATTTTGCTCCAGATCTCCTGAGGGACATAGATTTGTCTCTATCTGGAATTCCCACCCTACCCTCAGCTACTTGTTAGGAGGTTTGTGTTTTGTCATTTGGCAGACACTTACCTGCCGCGCGTGCTGCGGTGGAAGAATGCTTTTGGCAGCAGAGGCTGTGTGGCTCTGGGAGCTGGGGAGGCAAGTTGTAGCAGCTTCGTCTCTTATGAGTGCTCCAGCTCTGCCAAACCAAACAAGACAAGGTGACATGCTTCTCTTGCTGCCTCTCAGCAGACAGACTCATTAGTTATCTGTTGGTCCCATGAGGGGGTTTGTTGGGTTTTTTTTTTCTTTCCTGCAGGGATAACAGTAATTCAGGTGTAAGACTTCAATTAAAAGGCTTTCCTTCTCTGGCAGCCACAGCAGTGAGAGTCACACCACAGCTTAGGAAAAGAGTTTTGCTTCCAGCAGAAGCACAGAGGCGAATTTTTAGCTGTTACCAGTGGGATTTTCACAGGTGGCATCAGATGCCCAGTTCAATCTCTCACAAGGCCTTAGCAAACTCTCTCAGGCAATACAAAAGCACAAAGTATTGTTATGAAGGAATGACACTGGCAAGAATTCAGGCCATAAGGGCCTTAACACCTCTGCTGGACAGAGTCTGTTACTAAGAGAAAGAACAAAACAAACTCAATCACAGCTGGCCCCTGATGTCCTGCTCACTTGCTGAGGCAATGAGGGAGTTTTTTTGGTCACTTAGATAACAAAGCTAACCTTTGTCATTCCCTTAATTTTTGGAAATCTCCAAACACACCTGTCTAAATATCCATGACCTAGAGGGAAAAATAATATATTTAAAACACAAAATGGGTGCCAAATCTAACTCATCAGTCTCTGCTGAGATTCCTGAGAGTCTTGGGAGGTGGGACCTCGAGCAGTTTATTTTGGCATTGTCCTCAGTGAGAGAACCTTTTGATGGCAGTGACTCTGGAAAGGACCAGTGCTTTGAGAAGAAAGCAGGGTAAGCATTAATGCGAGAGCAGAAGAAAGCCTTAATATAAGTATTGCAAAAGCAGCAAAAAACCAAAGTGATAAAATCCATCTGACTTTCACTGATTTTCATTGAGGAAGAGTAAGAGGGCAAGAAAAGTTGTGAGCGAGTCCTTCTCATCTAGGTAATCCATTTCACTACACAGGATTGCCCTTACCACAATTTAGGTGCTTTGCTCCTCCTTTCCTTCTGTCCCCAGATGGAAGGAGACTGTCCCAGCCTATTGGTACTACCTTTGAGATACTTTTCTTTGATTAAAAATGTTTCCACCATCACTAATAGCAAGCTAATTGCAGTGCCTCTTGTGGTGTATCTCTGCCCCAGAATTCAGTCCCAGAAACAGGGGAGATAAAGAAAAAAAGTGTTCTTGTAGTTGGAAAGCTCATTTACTTTTTGTCTTCTATATTTATTTTATAGGCCTAATGTTTTTTTTTGTATACTGTCTAATCCAACAAAAGTGCCTAAGGTCTTAAAGTTTAGTTTTCTCAAGCATACAAACACCAAGTAATCAAGGTAACTATCAGTTCTTATCTTTTTTAAGTTGTAGCTGTGACTAGGATGTGAAGAAAAGAACCAGACAGAAGGTTTTTTGGCTAATTCTGCTCTCTTATCTTCCCACCGCTATTTCTTACATTAGGCCAATATTTTGTTGTTGCTAGATTTGTAAGTCTTCCAGAGCAGCTGGAAAGATGTTATTCAGGCATTAGACTGGGCTGTGGTAGAGCTGGGCACCCTTCTATGTCTTTGCCTCGACATCTTATGAGCCCATGCCTGCCACACATTAACCTACTTGCCACGCTGTCTGCCTGGGGTCAAGCAGTCCATCATGCTCAATTTGTTATATTTTACATAGGATAAATCACTCATTAGAGCTCAGTGCACAAAATAACTTTATCCTAAATGGTTGGATGAGTCATGGGGGAAGCAGAAAAGGATTGTAGTCCCTGCTTCAGGAGACATTTAAACTCTTAAGTAGTCAGTGTAATGCAGCCTGGAGCACAGACCTGATTTCTCCTAGGTGAGTGCACTAAGTCACAAAATTATTCTCCCCATGCCTTCCAAAATATTTCAAGTATTTTCCCAATAAAAGTAGAACAAAAGGAGTTAAGAACATCTCCCCCATCCACATAAATAAAGCCCTAATATCTGAGTGATATCAATTAAAGTGTCCTCAAGATGAGAAAGGAACATAACCCTGACCTCCTACACACAGAATAAGTGCTCTAATCACTGAGTTCCTGGATGAAAGGGATTGCATTTACTTTACTATTTCCTCTCCTTAAAAGTACCATATAACAAGACATTATATGTGACACTGAGTATTTTGACCTGAATGAGAAAAATCCATTCACATCCTAATGGGGGGAGGGGAGAATTTAGTCACATGAAGTTGAACTTTTATTAAAACTTTCAGTTAAACTGATCTGATTTTCTTCTCTAATTTTTCCCACTTAGTTGCCAACACAACCTGTAATACCAGTGATTTCCACAGGCATAGTCCAAATCTGTGTTAATCAATCAGATGATTTAACTAGGACCTTCTGTAAAAAATCTGTTTCAAAAGCCAACACTTTTCTGTATGGAATATCCAGCCCTCCTTTCTAAGGGACTTCTGTTTGAACACGGGAATTGAAAAAAAAGAAGCAGTTCTTGATTGAATCTTGTCTTGTGCAGTCTCAGCTTGTAAGGAATTTTGTTTAATTAAATTGGCTATATATACATAAAAATATGTACATACATGTGCATGTGCAGTTTGCTTTAAAAGAGAGAGATCAGCTAGAGAAAATACCTGTTTTCCACTGCTGGAAAAAGGCTGTCGCTCTAGTACAGTCCTCATATGGATTGCTTACACATGGTTCACCAGGCAACTGGACTCATACCATGTTCAAGTACACTGTGACCAGCATTTCAATTGTCATGTTGGGAAAAATGAAAGTTTCTCCTTGAGAGGCATGGCTCTCTTATTTTTGATGTCTTCATCATGGCCCCTCATCTGCTCCTTCTGTTCAGAGACGTACCTAGGATCTATCTCAATTATTCTCCGCTTCTGACCGATCCAGGAGACACTGAAATCATCAGCCCTCACTTCTAGATTCACCCACTGGAATGGCATCTTCAAAAAGCTCATTATTTATTCATAACTAGGCCAAAGGCTTTTGCTCTAAGTATTGACAATGTCCAGCTCATTACAAGTTTTGGACTTGGGTACTAAAAGTTGCTGAAAACTGTCTCAGTTATTAATCCAGGCAGGAAGAGAGTCTGGGACAATCAGTACCAGGACAATCACATGGGAAAATTTGTGCTTTTATGGCAAGTAGGATTGTCCTCCAGCTCTTCTAGGAGTAGAGAGAATCCGGAAAGTCTTGAAAAATCTATGTCCTTTCCCAGAAATAAAGGAGGGTTTCTGAAAGACTGTTTTCTTTCTTGCTTGTCCTTGTCCTGTTTTTCCATTTGTCCTTGGATAGCCATAACTAAAAAGAGTTACTCAGCACTTAAACAAAACATTTGGCCATAGTTCATAACCACTAAAAAGACAGAACTCGAGTTCGCTGGAAATTGAACTTTCATTCAAAACTCTTTTGTATTTTAAATGATGGAAGGAGTAAAACTAAAGAGTTTCCAGTCCTTTCAGGAAGGTTGGAGATCTAGGCAGGGACATGACATCCCCAGGGGCAGATTGGTAGGAATCTGGGATGCCAGACTAGAAGGAGCACCAGCCAGACTTCCTCCTCATCTGTCCATGAATGACAGAATCAGAGAATCACAGAATCATAGAATAGTTACGGTTGGAAAGGACCTTAAGATCATCTAGTTACAACCCCCCTGCCACGGACAGGGACACCTTACACTAAACCATATCACCCAAGGCCTCATCCAACCTGGTCTTGAACACTGACAGGGATGGAGAATTCACAACCTCCCTGGGCAACCCATTCCAGTGCCTCACCACCCTAACAGGAAAGAATTTCCTTCTTATATCCAATCTAAACTTCCCCTGTTGAAGTTTTAACCCGTTATCCCTTGTCCTATCACTACAGTCCCTAACGAAGAGTCCCTCCCCAGAATCTTTATAGCCCCCCTTCAGATACTGGAAGGCTGCTATGAGGTCTCCATGCAGCCTTCTCTTCTCCAGGCTGAACAGCCCCGACTTTCTCAGCCTATCTTCATACGGGAGGTGCTCCAGTCCCCTGATCATCCTCGTGGCCCTTCTCTGGACTTGTTCCAACAGTTCCATGTCCTTTTTATGCTGAGGACACCAGAACTGCACACAATACTCCAGGTGAGGTCTCACAAGAGCAGAGGGGCAGGATCACCTTCTTCGACCTGCTGGTCACGCTCCTCTTGATGCAGCCCAGGATACGGTTGGCTTTCTGGGCTGCGAGTGCACACTGAAGCCAGCAAATGTTCAGATTCTCATCAACCAAAACCCCCAAGTTCTTCTCCACAGGGCTGCTCTGAATCAATTCTTTGCCCAACCTGTAGCCGTGCCTGGGATTGCTCCGACCCAGGTGTACAACCTTGCACTTGCATAGTTAAACTCCATAAGGTTGGCATCAGCCCACCTCACAAGCGTGTCGAGGTCCCTCTGGATGGCATTCCTTCCCTCCAGGGTATCAACCGAACCACACAGCTTGGTGTCATCGGCAAACTTGCTGAGGGCGCGCTCAATCCCACTGTCCATGTCAGCGACAAAGATGTTGAACAAGACCAATCCCAACACTGAAGCCTGAGGGACACCACTCGTTACTGGTCTCCAGCTAGACATTGAGCCATTTACCACAACTCTTCGTGTGCAGCCATCCAGACAGTTCTTTATCCACCCATCAAATTGATGTCTCTCCAATTTAGAGACAAGGATGTCATGTGGGACAGTGTCGAACGTTTTGCACAAGTCCAGGTGGATGACATCAACTGCTCTACCCCTGTCCATCAGTTCTGTAGCCCCATCATAGAAGGCCACCAAATTGGTCAGGCAGGATTTCCCCTTAGTGAAGCCATGCTGGCTGTCACCAAGCACCTTGTTGTTTTTCATGTGCCTTAGCATGCCTTCCAGGAGAATCTGCTCCAAGATTTTGCCAGGCACAGAGGTGAGACTGACTGGTCTGTAATTCCCCGGGTCATCCATTTTCCCCTTCTTGAAAATGGGGGTTATATTTCCCTTTTTCCAGTCGTTGGGAACTTCACCTGAC